ATTTGTTGTCCTCCTTGAGAATTGATCACATTTTCCTGGTTCTTTATATGTTGAATAACTACAGATTATAAGCTGAACATTTTTAATATTATATAGACTCTAGGTCCTGTTAAAATATTCTGGGCAATGTTGATTTTTGTTTACCAACCAACCCAGACAGGATCAGACAGCAAGTTCTGTTTCATCTTCTGCAGGCTGTGGTTCTAATATCAGTTCAGTTTACGAAGGCTTTGCTATGCTAAATTGGATCAATCTCACACATGCACTACTCAGTAGTTAGTCTGTGTCATATTCAGTGCTCTAAACTGTAGTTCAGTTCTCAAAGACCTTGCTGTGCTGCTTTGGGTCTGAGTATGTGCAGCTCAGGGTTAAGTTTAAAGGTTGTGCTAATTACAACAAAATAAGAGGAGTCCCTTCTCTAGCTCTCTTCTCTCTGGTATCCCCCCTTGCCACACAGGGCCCCTTTGCTCCGTCCTTTGACCAGATATATGGGGGTCCTCTTGGCATGTTAGCTCAACTTGACACCATTACTGTGCAGTTCCCACAGTACAACCCATCTTCAGGACAAAGAGTAAATAGAGAAAAAAATGAGGATTATCCTCACATTCTTCAGATGCCAAGTGTTCTCTTCCCATTACTTCTGTCAAGAGTTTCCATCAATTTTAACTGTTGGCACTGCTTGTTACCGAGGCTTACCAGTGACATGCCATGACAGAAAAGAGAAAAGAAAAACCCTCAACATGCTCTAGCTTCCAGGAGCTCATTTTTTTCTGGTCTTCTAGAATTTTTCTTTCATAGGTTTTTCCACAGAGTTTCCTCTGGTTTAACCCATCAGAGGAACCACTATGACAGGTCTACTAGGTGCCCTCTCCTGGCTCGGGGCCAAGAGAGAAAAGGAAGGGGGTAGGGGATGAAAACTCACCCTTGTATGGATCTCTTCTCCAGGTTTGACTCTACTCCCATTCCATCTGCTCTTGTATATTTTTCAGTGTCTTCAGGTAGTTGCCTTTTGCATTTTTGTTTTTAAGTGGGAGAGGTTTTTTGAGGGCTTACTCCATCTTGACTATGCCTGAAATCCAAGGCTGCATTATTTTTAAGAGACCCAAACTGGAAACAACCCCACTTTCCTTCAACATTAGAATAGACACATTGTGATATATTTTTACAATGGCATATAACATGGCAATGAGAAGGAACAAACTACAGTGACATCAGCAACATGGGTGAATCTCACATTACTTCTGTTGTTGAGTCTGAGAGCAACTCCATTTTGCCTTTAATCAAATTAAGATAGAAGAAAATTACAGTGTAGGTTCCATTTATATAAAGCTAAATTATAATGTTAGAAATCAGGATAGCTGTTATCGCGAAGAGAGGGAAGAGTGATTGGCAGATGGCAATATGAGAGCTTTAGGGGTGCTAACGGTCTATTTCTTGCCCACATGGTTACACATGTAATCACTTAGTAATTCACTGAGCTGAACATTCATTTTGTACTTTTCTGTACATATTTTGCATATCAACTTCAAAAACATTTGAAAATTTAACTCTTCCTTCTCTGGGGAATGGACAGAATCTTAGCTTAAATTGACCTATGTACCAAGGGGAATTTATAATGACTGAGGTTACTTCATGGAATTCAAGAACAGGAATGATCCTGGGCCTCAAGGACAACTGAGCCAAGGGCTCAAATACTGTTAGAGCCTTCTCTCACTACAGATGTTCCCTCTAGGAAAATATGACCACTGACATGAAACAATCATTTTATAGGATATGCACTGAGACATTTGTGGTGCAAGACTAGGCCCACTTACTGGGGATAGCACCACTTTCAGGGAAAATGGTCTTCCCTCATTCCATCCATGTTTTCATAGGAGCTTTTAATTAACCCTGATCACCTGACCACAGTCAACTAGTCCAGAAATGAGCACTTGACTGTGTTGAGGAATCCTATTCCTGTAAGTTTTGTTCTCAGGATCAGAGTCCTATTTTTGAATAGGCATGCTTGGGGTGGGGTGCAGCCAATCAGCTGATCCTAAGGATTGAGAACTCTAATCTAGACTATCTCAATTCTTTATTTGGTTGTGCCTATTATTTCTTAAAAGTATTTTGTTTTAAAACAGGAACTGTATTCAACCAATATTGTCAATTCCGTCTGGGTAGACTGTTGGGCGGGGTGGCAGTTCAAGTGTCAATAACAGATACTATATGAAGAACTATGGTAATACTGGTTTGGTGAAGTTTTGGAATTAGTATTTGTATACTCTTTCTGGAACTCCTCCCCCAGCAGAATCGATCTAAATGATGGCAGTGACCTCGGAGTTAAGAAAAAGTTATGGTGTCAGTCAGAATGGCTAAAATTAACAAGTCAGGAAACGACAGATGTTGGCGGGGATGCAGAGAAAGGGGAACCCTCCTACACTGTTGCTGGGAATGCAAGCTGGTGCAGCCACTCTGGAAAACAGTATGGAGGTTTCTCAAAAAGTTGAAAATAGAACTACCATATGATCCAGCAATTGCGCTACTGGGTATTTACCCCAAAGATACAAATGTAGGGATCCGAAGGGGTACGTGCACCCTGATGTTTATAGCAGCAATGTCCACAATAGCCAAACTGTGGAAAGAGCCAAGATGTCCATCGGCAGATGAATGGATAAAGAAGATGTGGTATATATATATACAATGGAATATTATGCAGCCATCAAAAGGAATGAGATCTTGCTATTTGCAATGATGTGGATGGAACTGGAGGGTGTTATGCTGAGTGAAATAAGTCAATCAGAGAAAGACATGTATCATATGACCTCACTGATACGAGGAATTCTTAATCTCAGGAAACAAACAGGGTTGCTGGAGTGCAGGTGGGTGGGAGGGATGGGGTGGCTGGGTGATAGACATTGGGGAGGGTATGTGCTATGGTGAGCGCTGTGAATTGTGCAAGACTGTTGAATCACAGATCTGTACCTCTGAAACAAATAATGCAATATATGTTAAAAAAAAAAAAAAAGATAGCAGGAGGGGAAGAATAAGGGGGGGAAATCGGAAGGGGAGACGAACCATGAGAGCCGATGGACTCTGAAAAACAAACTGAGGGTTCTAAAGGGGAGGGGGGTGGGAGGATGGGTTAGCCTGGTGATGGGTATTAAAGAGGGCACGCTCTGCATGGAGCACTGGGTGTTATGCACAAACAATGAACCATGGAACACTACATCAAAAACTAATGATGTATGGTGATTAACATAACAATAAAAATTTTTTTAAAAAGTTACAGTGTCAACCATGAATATGATCCCAATTTCATAAGAAGAAAAAAACAAATGACAATATCTGCAAATTTAAGTGGTTGATTACCTAGGGAATTAAGTGCTTTGTCTTCTTTATAATTTAACTGTATTTCTATTATATAAAACTAGAAACAATTTTTCATAAGAAAAACCAACTAACGTTATAAAGATACAAACAATATATATGACAGATTTTTTAAATAACATCTAGGAATATCTGCACTCAGGAATGGAGAAATGTGGGTCAAGCTTTCAGTATCAGTTAATGTACACCTCCATTCAAAAGCAAACTCATGTTAAAATATTTTCCCATCCTCAATGGAAGACTTTCTACCCTTCCATTTAGCATTTTATAAGAATGTTAGGTTTAGGGATGCCTGGGTGGCTCAGTCGGTTAAGCGTCTGCCTTCGGCTCGGGTCATGATCCCAGGGTCCTGGGATCGAGTCCCACATCGGGCTCCTTGCTCAGCGGAGAGCCTGCTTCTCCCTCTGCTTCCTGCTTTCCCTGCTTGTGAGCTAACAAAATCTAAAAAAAAAAAAAAAAGTTAGGTTTAGCACTTAAGTATTTATTTCTGGATGGTGGGATTGCAGGATCCCAAGGTGAAATGTGGGATCATTTATATTAATATTCTCAGTTTTTGAAGCAATGAGTCTCTATTAGTTTCAAAATCAAATATTAAGATTTTTTGTTTTTTGTTTTTAAAAGAGAAAACATTAAGTTTAGCCAGTTTAGATAAAGAATTGGTTCGAAATTGGCATGCAGTTAACATAGTTTTAAACTGACTTGTATTAAGGTCTGTGAGTGAAATCTGTTCCATTTTCAGACTAGTAACCAGAGGACCACTTAGTCCACTCAGACTTATATTTAGGATCATTAAAAATATATTAGGGGTTGCTAACTTTGGCTTCATGCTCATGTGAACATCTTGTTCACTACCTGCCTCAAAGTTCATTTCTCTATTATTTACTCTGCTTTTGTAACTCAAAGTTAAACTTTGATATAGCAAATATCTCACAAGAACCTCCATGTGGGTTTTCCACTGTATTGGGTATATAAGAAATTTAAGAAAAATTCTCACTCATTGATTTACAAGTACATTGACATTTAATTTTAAATGGTTCTTAGAAGTTTTTGGGTTGGCTTGAGGGGAAAATTCAAACATATCATTTCTCTATGCTGTATTAATGAGACTAATTGTAACAAAGGACAGAAAAACTTCCAAAAGGAATGTGGGGAACTAATTAATCACTGTATAATTCTGGATTTTCTTCCATTTATCCATAAGAGAAAAATGCACGATTAACTAAATAAATGTATTTGGTTTGAAAATGTATTAATTTTCCCTCTTGGAAACTCATATATAATGTCTTTTTGCTTGTTTTACATATGCTGGCTTTTTTTTTTTTAATGCTGGCTTTTTAAAAGTAGGTATCAATTCACAGCAGGTGACAAAGTTCCAAGAACATACCAGTTTTGAGTAAACTATAAATATACTCCAAATAATTCAAATATGAAATAACTAGGACAAGGAGAATATAACATGATATATGCCAACTCATGAAGATCAAGTTTGAAAGGGCAATATGACTTGGGTCTGTGTGTTTAAAAAAAAAAAGAAAATCAACTGAGAAATTGATTAAAACCAATTGTAGGCAACTTGGGGTGGGGAATCTTACCATATCCAGAAATTCATAAAACACTTGAAAAAACAAATATAAATTTAATAATAAACATTATGGTCAGGCTGTTTTATTAAGGAGGCAACCACACATACAAGTTCAGCTATAGAAATGTTTGCAAATCAAACTTCATGTGATCTAAAAGGACCATGCGTAATGTCAAAAATGGATGTCTGTACATTCAATAAAAATTTAAACATACATAGTCTAGATCATTCTGGAGTTATACAAATGTCTGGGGACACATGTATCTAATTTCCTTTCAAAAAAACTCTTATAAAAGTGATATATTGAGATAATTTTAAAAAGTATCTGACAATTATGAATGGTCCCCAGTTTTACAAAATGTGATTTCCAGGGCATGAAAACTGAAAAAAGTCAACTCTTCAGAGAGTGTTTTATATTATACAAACAAGTTCTGTAGAAAAATGATCCAGCAAATGCTTGAGTTAAGAATATTTATATTTTTTCCAATTTTTTACACTTTTATTAACACACTTACAAAAAAATAACATTCAAACACTGAGAAAATTAAATAACTTTGGAAGCAGAGCTCATAGCTTTCTGCTTACATATAAGTGACAATTCTGGGCTGTTGGCACAGAAAAATAATCAACATTCATAAAACCCTTACTACTATATATCAAACATAAGTTAAAATCATAGGCACTAGTTTATCAAATCCACATTTCTTCTGTAAGACTAACCACAGTGAATCCTTAGATATTCCCAAACAGAAAAATTGGCAACACACAAAGGCCGTCTAGTGAAAAGGCAATTTTTCTCTTTAGGAACCTAAAAGCCAATAGTCTGTGGTTGTACAACCGCAGGTAAAATAATGCTTTACCCAACTCAGACCCAAATACGTTTCTAACAAGTGATGAAGCATTTTAATAAAAAAAAAAAAATAGACATTTTTTTTCTGATGCAGCCATTTAAAAACAAAGTTAAATAACCTGAATACTCCTTTTGAAACAGATAATCTAACTTAATGTAATGGGTGTTTCAAATAGAGTTAAAATTCCTTGTAATTATTAGATTGCAGCATATTTTTCTTTTGCAATGTTGCACTGAAACTGAGACCTATTTTGTTTTGTGTACGTATGGTTTTAAAAAGAGACAGTGGCTAGTTCTTTCTTTTCCTTAGATTTTTACATGAGTTACCCCCCACCCAAAGCAGATGCTTTATCTTCCTCTGAACAGCAACATTTTTTAGTTCATCATCATGTGGAATTCTGGCGCCGCCCTTCCCTGACCCACACCCATCACCCTCAAATTCAAGGATACAATTTCTCCCTTGCATTATACACCAAAATACATTAGCACTGGCAGTTTAAATCTCCAGCTGCATGTGCTAACTGAATGACTCCCTATTGGTCAAGCTAATAAAAAATACCATGGTGTCACGGCAGAATTGGGGCCTTGGTTTTAAACATTTTATCATTCTCTCAACCTATCAACCTCAATGCTATCCTGAATATCAAGTCTCTCACTTGTCTCTCAATTTCTTTTGCCAACTTACAGAATGTCTTTGACTAACAGGAAATGAATTTATGTTCAAGTCTCTAAAATCCTTTAGGTAACCTGACTGCCAATATTTCAGAGCCATTCAAATTAAGTATTTTAAAACAGACCTCACCATGAAAAATGAGAAGCCCGCTGAAGGAAGTTTTAGTCTGGTAATTGTCTAATAAAACCAAAATAAGTGATTTCCAGGATATACATAAGGGCCACTAGAGAGCAAGTATTTAACAGATTAGAGTCATATGTAGTGGGTTTCATTTGTTACCAAAAATGTAAAAATTAATGTAAGGCAGAATCCAAGTCAAAAGGGACAGTATTTTCAAACGAGGTTTTACACAGTTACCTAGTTTAAAGTGGATCAACTTAAGTAGGATTCAGCAGGCTCTATCTTCCTACCACATAATAGACCATTGTGTCAATTAATAGTAACAATACAACTGTCATTACCAGAGATTTTATAAGTTAAGTGCATAGATTTTTTCCCCCTCTCTCTCATGGTATGGTATCGTTCCAGGTTGTAAGCACTGAGGCGGTGTTAGTTATATCAAGAATAAAGACACATACTACTTGCTCTTTCCTATCATGGAAACCTGCTAATAAAAAGACAATCTCTTAGTTCTGTAACAGATGTAATAGCATGTGAAGAAGTCGGCTTCAATAGCAAAGGCTATCTTTCCTGAGCCAGGAGCTATAAAGTTTAGAAAGATTGTACAACTGATATTAAGCCCTTTTGGCAATCAAAACAAACACGCAGAAGTCCGATATGTCAATGCAATACAGTGGATGCACGGTGTAACGTTATCTGATGGTGGTGATATGTGAGCTACATCCAAAACTTAAGATTAAACAAAATGACAGTTTTTCTGATACATCAGGTATCATGTTTGAAATCTCTAGCCTAGATTTCTTCCCACCCCCATCCTCCCTTCCATCTCAATTTCGTTTCTTGGAGTACTAGTGAAACACTAGTGAAACATTTTAGATAATTAGTCAGAATATTAGTTCTCATTAACACAAATATTTATTGATGCTATTTATACAGTAAATTAGGTTGAATGTGAAGTTTTGGATAGCTTGAATTCACCATTTTCTTGTGCACAAAGGTATTCTCTCATTTACAAATGGGCATTTCTCTTTGGCATCCATTAGTTTTTTGCCCAGATATTGGCCTGTCAAATATTTAAAAATCAACTTAGTTTCTACTAAACAAAACTAAATGTGATTCCATGGAGAGTGATTGTATGATTACCAAACACATCTGATGTTAAATGTCATTAAAGTGCTGCTTGATCATCTCTGTCAGTTTGTGCTAATTAAGACAGAGAGGGCTGGGATTTATAAACCCCAAGAGTCTTATCTGAACAGTCTGCATGTAAAAGTTGTCTTTTAGCCTGGTGAAGGGGTATCCATGAAGCTGTGGGCCTCTGCATTCCCATCTTTGCTGGTCAATAGCAGCCATCTTTCCAACTGTCATCTTTCATGCTACCATAGGTTTTAGGAGCTGGCAAGGATCTGAAATAAAGCAATTTTATAAAGTGATTTGTAAGGCTTTATGAAACATTACCATACTATCTCCCACATATATTAATTACTTTGCAGGTGGCATCCCGATCCAATGAAAGCTGTTCCAGGGGACTACTGAGATCAAAGCTCTAAACAGCCTATTAGCACAATTGTCCCACACCTGGCATTTCTAACTTTCCAGGTGACTTCACTAACATCTTTTTGTTAACACAGCTACTATAGAAAAGAAAGGAAAAGACTGTTTCATCTCTTCCAACAGCATGGATCACCAACATTTTAATTAATTAATTAATTAATTTGAGGGGGGCAGAGTGATGAATGTGACAGTAGAGACTTAGTGTCACCATCACTTTGAGAGGCAAAATGACAGTGTTTAAATGGACTTTTAAGTCAGACATACTTAGAACTGAAAGCCTTTAGTTGTGTAGTCTTAGGCAAATTACTTAACCTCATTAAATTTCAATATTCTCCTCTGAAAAACACGGATAATAACAGTTTAATATTTATGTTATTGTAATGTTTAATGTTACTGTAAAAATTCAATAAGGTACCTGTAAGTTATTTAGCACAGTGCATAGCAAAAAGCTGTTGTACTCTACTACTGAATTCAGAAATGTAATACATTTATCTTAGAATGAAAGAGATATGGGTAATTCAGTTTAAATGCTTACAAGATGAAAGCCATTTTTTCCCCCATGCAAATAAATATTTAAAGTTTAAGTATGCTTGGACTCCTAAGTTTACTGATGGTGGTAATCACATTCCTGAAAGGCAGATACTACGATTACACAGATGCATGGTTCCCAGCCTGGCTGGCCTCAGAATCACCTGAAGATTCAACAGACAAACAAAAAAATTACCCACAGATTTTGGCCTTCATACTAGATCTACTCTCTAGGGGTAAAACTTAGGCCTCTACATTTATATAAATTCTACAGAAGATTCTGAACTATATCAAAGTTTGAAAACCACCCTCCTAGATTATACTCAGATTTGGTAGCTAGAAGTTTTATCTTAAATCTCACTCTAGGTTCTAATGAGCTTCTTTATCTTTACTGAATAACATATTCAAAATGAACAAATATCACAACCAAATTGAGTGGTTCTAACAATTTTTTTCTAGGAGTTCTCACTGGTGCCTAATCATGTTAGGCATCTGTGTGAATTTTATCTGACCAAAGTGGAATGACACCCTTGTATCTTAAATGACGATTTCTTTAAAACAACAAAGTCACGTTTTATTCCAATTCTACTAAGACTCTAATGGGAACCCATTAGGACTCTCTAGGTTTGCTACCACGTGCTGTGATAAGCATAATTCTAAACTACCCACTTTCCTATGCTCAAGATTGTTTCAACAGAACATCTGTCACTTACCTGCGAACAGGCTGTGCAAGTTTGCTGCGAGGCACTGGTATACCCCCAGCAGAAGGGGCACTGGGTCTGGGCAAGCCACTTCTCATCGCGGTTGTCCCTGCAGGTCTGGTTAGAGTAGTGCTGTTGATATTGTTGGGAGGATTTGCTGGGACTGTGTTCTGAACCATGGGAGGCCCAGGTGAGGAGGTGGTCTGTGTGAGCTGTGTTGTTTCTTGGCTACCAGGAGAACCAGAGCCATGGTTACTAAATGCTTTTACTGGTTGCCGGAGAGCCAAAGGAGATGGTGCTGCAGGGGAGCGGAATTTGCCTGGAGAAGGTACTGCAGAATGGCAAAGAAAAATCAATGTTTTTAGTAGAAACTAAGTGTAAGTGAAACCAGTGCTTTATATTACACTTGATGACTAGGCCACCAGTATATCTGTATTCATGAAAACTTGCTTTACAGAAATGCAAAGAATAAAGAATATTTCTGGCTAACAAAACAAAACAAGATAACTGTAAGTCCTAAATAACCAAGTCCTTATTCAGAGGACTGCAACTATCCTTCGTTACAGTGTTTTAACTATGCCAGCTAGGAATCCACAATACCAGAAGAGAAAAGGCATTCAGGAATCTATTTCACTGTAGCAACTAATCTGGGCCACATTCTAGAAATGGAATAACGGTTGACTACCACATGGTTGACTAGAATTTGAAACATACTCTCCCTTCAAAAAACCATTCATGTAAACATGTATCAAGTATCTGGTGGCTGTACTTCAAAGTCCTATATCATCTACAGTGTAACTTAAGACTTGGAAATAAAACATTAAAAACAAAACAAAACAGCTTCTACTGTTGTGCTTCACCAAATAGAGAAGTTATAAATCTAAGGGCATATCAAGATGTGTATGAAGGCACAGGATAAAGATGGTACATTCTTCTGGAATGTCAATTCTATAAGTTAAAACACTTTTAAGTTAAAATAAATACTGATACATGAAAGAATAAAATGTAAAATTTGCATTGTTTTAAGCCAAAATAGGACTACAAATAAATATTGTGGTTATTCCTTAACATTATAAGTTCTGCTCTCCTAGGGGACACATTCATTGTTCCCTGTTTGTTTGGTTTAGCTAAGTCACCTCTAAAAGGGCATCAATTTTAGTTTCTTCAAATGTCCATGAATGGATACACCAAATGTAAATAAAAAAATATTACCCTGACCTGCTTATCTAACAAAGAATTTGGGAGGTGAAGAGAATGGGATGTGGAAGGAAAGAGGGAGAGCTGGATCAGAGACAGAACCAGGTCACCCTATTCTCTCTCAACCTCTATCAGGTTGGGGAGGACTGAAGGGAAAACCTTGGTCTTAAGACTCCAGAAATGGATTATTCCACACAACTCCATCTTCTTCACTTCTACTAATCTGTCTACATGGTAATAGGTAACAGTAAGGTCTGCCACAGTAGCGGGTAGGAAAGGAAAAAATGGATGGCCACTATTTTCTTCTGCTGAGAGAAAGAAGAGAGGATACACTTTAGCTTCAAAACTCCCAAATGGGAAATTCCTCTTACCATCCTTTCAATAATGTTTTTTATACATAGCCTCCTTCCTTCCCAACTGATCTTTCTTGCCTTCTGTTTAATTGAAGTCCCAAATGTCAGCATCTCTGTACTTAAGATATGTTAGGCCCCAGTACTTGATAGGCTCAAATGATCTCTGCTTGGCTTCAAAAACATTAGAGCCATGATTCTCAAACTTGACTGTGCATCAGAATCCCAAGGAGCTTTTTAAAAAAGAATACAGAAACCCAGGCACCACCTCCAGAAAATCTAGTCCAGAATGAAACTCAGATATTTATATTAAAACCACCACAGGAGCTTCAAGCCATGATGTCAAAACTGGGAAGGGGGTTACCTTCCTACCTGTAAACACCTGTACAACTGGACAAAATATATGAAACAGTTTTCAAATATTGGACAACAGGCAGTATAAAACTATAATTCTGGAGAAAAGGAAAATAAATGTAGTGAGCCTTGTGAGCACACTGGCTTTTTGGGGGGGAAGGAGATGCTTTTTGGAATGTAGAGCAAGGAGGATCCTGAACAGATCAAAGTTATCTTGCTGAGCTGAGAAGACAAAAGCTGGAATTTGAGGAGAAGAGTACCTTAGAAGAGGGAGCCGCTCCAGAAGACCTCCATAACTCAGCTGAGGAGTCTACTTGAATCCTTGGCTAAATACTGTGCTACGCATATACCAAATGAAGTTCCATGAGACTGAGCAAAGGAAGACTGAAATGCTGTAAACTAAATGAAGCCTATTACTTGAAAATAAACTATAATAAGTTAAATTTGCAAAAAAAAAAAAAAAAAGATATATGAAAAATAAGCCAACAATAAAAATAAAATGTAATATTAAAGGCACTCAGCTATTCTAGAACAATAAAGGGGGGGCAAGGATCTGAATGGACAGAGAGAGAGAAAACAAACTGAGAGATGGTAGATGTTAAACCAACTATACTGATAACTGCATTAACTATGAATAGTAATCACGCCAATGAAAAGGTAATGATTGTTGGTACCCACAAGAGAGAAAGAGCTACATGCTATCTAAAACAAACATTTTAGAGAGGACTTTCCAAGACAGTGGAGGAGTAGGAGACCTTAGTTTTGTCTGGTCCCAGTAATTCAGCTAGAGAGCTACCAAATCATTCTGAACACCTGTGAACTCACCTGGAGATGTAAGAAAAGAATTGCTGCAATTCTACAAATAGAAAAGCGACCACTTTCTGCAAGAATGACAAGACAGAAAAACTCACCTCAAAAATGAGAACAAGAGGCAGTACTAACTACCAGGGACCTAATCAGTATGGATATAAGTAAGATGCCAGAAACAGAGTTCAGAATAATGATTATAAAGATACTAGCTGGGCTTGAAAAAAGCACAGAAGACACTAGAGAATCCTTTCTGGAGAAATAAAAGAACTAAAATCTAATCAAGTCTAAATAAAAAAGGCTATTAATGGGATACAATTAAAAATGGAGGCCCTAACTGCTAGGCTCAATGAGGCAGAAGAGAGAACTAGTGATAGAGAAGACAAAATGATGGAAATAAAGAAGCCGAGAAAAAGAGAGATAAACAACTACTGGATCATGAGGGAAGAATTCAAGAGATAAGTGAGATCATAAAGCAAAACATTATTAGAATAATTGGGATCCCAGAAAAAGAGGAAAGAGAGGGGCAGAAGGTATACTGGAGCAAATTATAGCACAGAACTTTCCTAATGTGGGGAAGGAAATAGGCTTCCAAGTCAAGGAGGCACAGAGAACCCTTCAAAATCAATAAAAATAGGGCAACAGCCCAACATTTAATAGTGAAACTTGCAAATCTCAGAGACAAAGAGAAAATCCTGAAAGCAGCCTGGGACAAGAGGTCTGTAACCTACAAGGGGAGAAACATGAGGTTGGCAGCAGACCTTTCCACAGAGACCTGGAGGGCCAGAAAGGACTGGCATGATATATTCGGGTGCTAAAAGAGAAAAATATGCAGCCAAGAATACTTCATCCAGCTAGGATGTCATTCAAAATAGGAGTGATAAAAAGCTTCCAGGACAGAAACTAAAAGAATTTGTGATCACCAAACCAACCATACAAGAAATATTAAAAGGCATCCTTTAAGCAAAGAGAGAGCCCTTACAGGTAATATAATGCACTAAATTCAGATCTTTCAATAGTTAATTCTGAATGTAAATGGGCTAAATGACCCAATCAAAAGACACAGGGTATCAGATTGGATAAAAAAGACTCATCGATATGCTGTCTGCAAGAGACTCATTTCAGACCCAAAGACACCTCCAGACTGAAAGTAAGGTGGTGGAAAACCATTTATCATGCTAATAGACATCAAAAGAAAGCTGGGGTAGCAATCCTTGTATCAGACAAATTAGGTTTTAAACCAAAGACTGTAATAAGAGATAAGGACACTATATCATACTTAAAGGGTCTATCCAACAAGATCTAACAATTGTAAATATTTATGCCCCTAACATGGGAGCAGCCAATTATATAACCCAATTAATAACAAAATTTAAGAAACACATCAATAATAATATAATAGTAGGGGACTTTAACACCCCACTCACTGCATGGATAGATCATCTAAGCAGATCAACAAGGAAACAGGGCTTTGAATGACACAATGACCAGATGGACTTCACAAATATATTCAGAGCATTCCATCCTAAAGCAATAGAATACACATTCTTCTTGAGTGCACATGGAACATTCTCCAGAATTGATCACATACTCAGTTACAAATCAGGTCTCAACTGGTACCAAAAGACTGGGATCATTCCCTGCATATTTTCAGACAACAATGCTTTCAAAGTGAGACTCAATCACAAGAGGAAATTTGGAAAGAACTCAAATACATGGAGGCTAAAGAATGAATGGGCCAACCAGGAAATTAAAGAAGAATTAAAAAAATTCATGGAAACAAAGGAAAACACAACTGTTCAAAACTTTTGGGATGCAGCAAAGGCGGTACTAAGAGGGAAGTATATAGCAATAAAAGCCTTTCTCAAGAAACAAGAGAGGTCTCAAATACACAGCCTAACCTTACACCTAAAGGAGCTGAGAAAGAACATCAAATAAAGCCTAAACCCATCAGGAGAAGAGAATAAAGATTAGAGCAGAAATCAATGAAACAGAAAGCAAAAGAACAGTAAACAGATGAATGAAACTAGGAGCTGGTTCTTTGAAAGAATAAGGTGGATAAACCTCTGGCCAGACTTATCAAAAAGAAAAGAGAAAGGACAAATAAAATCATGAATGAAAGAGGAGAGATCACAACCAACACCGAAGAAATATAAGAACATTTTATGAGCAACTATACACCAACAAATTAGGCAATCTGTAAGAAGTGGATGCATCCCTAGAGATGTATAAACTACCAAAACTGAAACAGGAAGAAACAGAAAACGTGAACAGACCCATAACCAACAAGGAGACTGAAGCAATAATCAAAAATCTCCCAACAAACAAGAGTCCAGGGACAGATGGCTTCCCAGGGGAATTCTACCAAACATTTAAAGAAGAATTAATACCCTATTTTTCTGAAGCTATTTCAAAAAACAGAAATGGAAGGAAATTTTCTAAACTCTTTCCATAAGGCCAGCATTACCTTGGTCCCAAAACCAGACAAAGACCCCACCAAAAAGGAGAATTACAGACCAATATCCCTGATGAACATGGATGCAAAAATTCTCACCAAGATACTAGCCAATAGGGGGATGCCTGGGTGGCTCAGCTGGTCAAGAGGCTGCCTTCAGCTCGGGTCATGATCTCAGGGTCCTGGGACTGAGTCCCACGATGGGCTCCCTGCTCAGTGGGGAGTCTGCTTCTCCCTCTGCCCTTCCCCCCACACGCACACACACGCACTCTCTCAGGTAAATAAATAAAATCTTAAAAAAAAAACAAACTAGCCGGGCGCCTGGGTGGCTCAGTTGGTTAAGCAGCTCAGGTCATGATCCTGGAGTCCCGGGATCGAGTCCCACATCGGGCTCCCTGCTCAGCAGGGGGTCTGCTTCTCCCTCTGCTCTCTTCCCTCTCGTGCTCTCTCTCATTCTCTCTCTCTCTCAAATAAATAAAATCTTAAAAAAAAAAAAAAAAAACTAGCCAATAGGATCCAACAGTACTTTAAAAAGATTATTCATCACGACCAAGTGGGATTTATTCCTGGGCTGTAAATCAATGTGATACACTACATTAATAAAAGAAAGGGCAGGGCACCTGGGTCGCTCAGTTGGTTAAGCATCTGCTTTCAGCTCAGATCATGATCCTGGGATTCTGGGACTGACCCCCACGTCAGGCTCCCTGCTCAGCAGGGAGTTTGCTTCTCCCTCTCCCTCTGCCCTTCCCCTGCTTGTGCTTGCTCTCTTGCTCTGTCTCAAATAAATCTTTAAAAAAAAAAGATAAAAAAAATAAAGGGCAAGAACTATATGATCCTCTCAGTAGATGCAGAAAACATATTTGACAAAGCACAGCATCCTTCCTTGATTAAAACTCTTCACAGTGTAGGGATAGAGGGAACATACCTCAGCATCAGAAAAGCCATATATAAAAAGCCCACAGTGACTATCATTCTCAATGGGGAAAAACTGAGAGATTTTTCCCTAATTCAGGAACACAGCAGGGATGTCCACTATCACCACTGCCGTTCAACATAATACTAGAAGTCCTAGCCACAGCAATCAGACAACAAAAAGAAATAAAAGACATCTGAATCAGCACTCTTTGCAGACAACATGAAACTCTATGTGGGAAACCCAAAACTCCACCCCAAAATTGCTAGAACTCATACAGCAATTCAGCAAAGTGGCAGGATATAAAATCAATGCACAGATATTAGTTGCATTTCTATACACTAACAATGAGACAGAAGACAGAGAAATTAAGGAGCCGATCCCATTTACAATTGCACCCAAAACCATAATAAGATACCTAGGAATAAACTTAACCAAAGAGGCAAAGGATCTGTACTCAGAAAGCTATAAAACACTCATAAAAGAAATTGAGGGACACACAAAGAAATGGAAAAACGTTCCATGCTCATGGATTGGAAGAACAAATATTGTTAAAATGTCTATGCTACCTAGAGCAATCTATACATTCAATGCAATCCCTATCCAAATACCATCAACTTTTTTTACAGAGCTGGACATGGATGGAACTAGAGGGTATTATGCTAAGCGAATAAGTCAATCAGAGAAAGACAATTATCACATGATCTCACGGATATGTGGAGTTTAAGAAACAAAACACAGTATCATAGGGGAAGGGAGGAAGAAATGAAACAAGATGAAACCAGAGAGGGGAAAAAAACCGTAAGAGAATCTTAACTATAGGAAACAATCTGAAGGTTGCTGGAGGAGAGGTTGGTGGGGGGATGGGGTAACTGGGTGATAGACATTAAGGAGGGCACGTGATATAATGAGCACTGGGTATAAGACTGATGAATCACTGAACTCTACCTTGAAATTGATAATACACTATATGTTAATGAATTGAATTTAAATCAAAATAAACACATTTTAGACATAAAACATAGATTAAAAGTAAAAGCACAGAAAAAGATACAATACACAAAACTGATCATGAAAAAGCTGAAATGTCTATAATAACAACAGAAAAAAAGATGACCATGAGAGATAGAGTTCAATGTTAAAGGGGCTGATTCAGAAAAGAATTAAGAATTCCAACTGTGTATATCCAAAAACAGATGTACAAAACACATGAAACAAACTGACATAACTGAAAGCTGGGGGGAAAAGTCTACAATTATGTATTTCAACACTATTCCAGTCTCAGTAACTGATAAAATAGGTAGAAAATCAGAAACGACATAGAAGACAAACACTACCATGAATCAAATTGGCTTGACATTTATAGAACACTCTAGTCAACTGATCACAGTTCAAACTTTCATCAGCAGGTGAATGAGTAAACCAAATGTGGTGTATTCATACAATAAAATACTACTCAGCAATAAAAAGGAGTAAACTGCAGATAAAATAAGGATGACTCTAAAAATTATGCTGAGTGAATTAAGTGCCAGACACAAAACAGCACATATTGAAGGACTCCATTTATACTAAGTTCCAGAAAAGGCAAATCTACGGGTGCCTGTGTGGCTCAGTTGTTAAGCGTCTGCCTTCGGCTCAGGTCATGATCCTGGGATGGAGCCCCACGTCGGGCTCACTGCTTGGTGGGAAGCCTGCTTCGCTTCTCTCTCCCCCACTCCCCCTGCTTGTGTTCCCTCTCTCGCTGTGTCTATGTCAAATAAATAAATAAAATCTTAGAAAAGAAAAGAAAAGAAAGGTCAAATCTAATTTATGGTAACAAAGCAGATCAGGTATTTGCTTGAGGTTTGAAGAATTGACTGGGAAGAAATACAAGGAAACTTTTGGGGATGATGGAAATGTTCTATAATTTCACTATATTGGTGGTTACATGAACGTGTGTGTGTGTGTGTTTAAAGTTTTATTTATTTATGTATTTGAGAGAGCGAGAGCGCATGCACAGTGGGGAGGGGCGGAGGGAGAGGAAGAGAGAAACTCCAAAGCACAGAGCCTGGTGGGACGCTGGATCTCAAGACTCTGAGATCACAACCTGAGCTGAAACCAAGAGTTGGTTGCCCAACTGACTGTGCCACCCAGGCGCCCCATGAATGTGAATTTTTGCTGAAATTAAAACTGTGTGTTTAAAATTCCACCTGAATATAGCTGACTTTAAGAAAACTCCATAAGGGACTCTACAGTAGAGCCAAGACTGAGAATAATGGCTCTTGAATCAATCATGTCCTGGTCCCCAACAACTGTTACAGTCTCCTCTGGCAGAAAACTGAAGATGTCCACAGGGCCTGAGTACACTGAATTGCAAATTCCATGATCTTCACAGAAGATTTTTTTTTTTTTAACTCTTACATAATCCATATTCCCCTTTTTATAGGTGACTGTAAATATATTTTGTCAACTTCATTCTCTACGCCCAGCCTTGTCTCCCTTGCCAAATCAGGCTCTACCCAACTTGTTTCAGTGATTTCCTGGAGGCTTACTGGATAACCAAGGCTCTCTAATTCATCTAGCCACTACCTGAGGGTGTGGCCTGGACCTCCTCCTTCTAGTACCAACTCCAAAAAGGCCATCTTCAGTCCTAGCTTTTCCCATAGTTGGTAGTCTTTCAGCCAGGGTTTTGTTTTGGTAGAACACAGGTTTCTGATAGGAGCAAGAACAGTACAGTTCACAGGATCATAAGCTTCAAAGAGTATTCTGGAAAAGTCTGGGGAGTTGAGGAAAGATAGCAATGAGGTCAGATTAAGAGATGCACTAAGACACTGTGAATGACAATCTATTAGATGAGGGATGACCGAAGAGTCCTAGGCTTCCTTCTTATGGTGACTGATGTAAAGCCCATGGTGAAATTAGGCACTTATACCAATGAGGCTAAGAGTGTTTCATGTCTACATGATAACCTTACACATACAGGAATATATCTATAATGCTCTGAATGTCTTACCCAAACCTTATCTTGAAAATAGGCTTTGTGAAAAGCATCTTTTCTTCTGGAAAAACTTCTGACCATTTTTTGAACTGCTAATAGTAATACCAGGGAAATGATGGTCTCCTGAAATTTTTTAAAAATGTGAATTTCAGACTGCCACTGGGAAAATGGGATAGATGTGTTTTTCCCTATTTCTCCCTGGGCATGAGTATAAAGTATAATTTAAAACCCTGGGCATGATACATAAAACAGACATAAGAAAACTCTATGTGGAGAGGAAAAAGGAAGACTGCCTAGGGACCTTGAGACCTAAGGGATGACACGGTAATGAGTTGCTAGGGTTTTCTTCTTGCTACATATATCCCAAATTGGAGCTGAAGAAATTGGCAACCTGGAAAAGCCATCAGGTGTGACAGAGGAAAAAAAGCCTGCTCTCTCTAGCCAAAGAACTAGGAAAGAGAACTTTTAGATGATAACTCTTCTACTCCAGCCAAACACCACAGAAAAACTGTAGTCTTACTCTCACCCACATCAGCAAGGGCTGGTGGGGTGTCTGGACTTCTATTCTTGTGAGGTTTAACAAGGCGCCCCAATATTTTCTCCAGGAAGGTGTCAGAGAAGACAGTAATCAGATGTTCTTTCCTCTCCTTATGGGTTGGTGTCAGAGGAGGTCCAGTACAGAGTCAGGACTTTGACAACTGCTCAGTGGTAACAAGACCACCTCCACCACAGTGTGAGTGGAGACCAAGTGGGGAGCCAGAACTCCTACCTCCACCCACCTGGCCCCTCTCCCTTAGGTGCCAACAAAGACTGAGTTGAAAACCCAGCCTTCTATTTCCACCTAGCAGTAATAAAATGCCCCAAGCCTCATCCACCAAATGCCTGAGTGGTGTCAGAGAAAGACATATAAAGCCAGAAAAAACAAAACCAGAAATATAGTATCGAAAAAGAAAACCACAGACCAATCTCTCTCATGAATGTAGATGTAAAACTCCTTAACAAATTAGCAAACAAGAACTCAGTGATATATATATATCTCATATACCACGATCAGGTGGGGTTTATTCCAGGATGCAAAGTTGGTTCAAAATTTGAAAATCAATCAGTGTCATTCACCACAACAACAGGCTAAAGGAAAGTCACATGATTACATCTACTGACGCAAAAAAGCATCAACCAAATTTAACACATATTCATGATAAAAATCCTGAGAAAAATAGGAATGGGGGAACCTGAACTTGTTAAAGAACATTTAAAAAAATACACATATAACATTATACTTACTGGTGAAAGACTGCTTACCCTCTAAGATAGGAACAAAGGAAAAATATATACTCTTACCACTCTTATTCATAGTGCTGGAAGTTCTAGCTAGTGCAATAAGAAAATAAAAGGCATATAGATTAGAAAGAAACTGTCTTCATGATTGTTACATCAAAAATCCCAAGGAATCCACACACACACACACACACACACACACACAACTTCTAGAAATACTAAGTCCAGTAAAGTCACAGGATAAAAGATTAACATATAACAATCTACTATATTTCTATATAGCACTAATGAATGTACAGAAATCAAAATAAAAAATGCAACACCACTTGCACTGCTCCCCCAAAAGAGAAAAGAAATATTTATATGTAAATCTAATAAAACAAAACCCAGAAAGCAAATTTCAGCAAATATCATGGGTTAGCTGCGAAAATCAAATGAGTAATATCTGGATAAATAGTTGGCAAATGTATAATATTACACAAACTGTAAGGCATATTACATCTGTGCCTTCCTTATCTAAGGAATACTGGAGCCTTTCAGCCTGTTACAGCTGAGTTCTCTGGAAAGATATTCAACAATGCCACTCAAGGGGCGTCTGGGTGGCTCAGTCGTTAAGCGTCTGCCTTCAGCTCAGGTCATGATCCCAGGGTCCTGGGATTGAGACCCACATCGGGCTCCCTGCTCAGCGGGAGGCCTGCTTCTCCCTCTCCCTCTGCTACTCCCCCTGCTTGTGCTCTCTCCCTGTCAAATAAATAAATAAAATCTTAAAACAAACAAACAATGCCACTCAAGACAGTTGTCTCCTAGGCCATCCTTATAAATTAACTAAAACACAGGGGTTAATTAGGCTTTATTGTCCAAATTAATTATGATAGTAGGTTATAATTTCTCTTTGCTCATTTTGGAAACTGAGAATTGCACTTAAATCAAGGCATAAAATGAAGTTGTTATCTACTCTGAGCAAGAATTAGAACTCTATTTATAAAACTGACATATGACTAAGAATGCTAACCTTGGTGTCTAAGTTAAGTCACCTCTGAAATGAAATGATGGGTAATATGAGGATTTCTATTTTTAAAACATTCATTTTTTGTCTTTTAATAAGCATTTAATAAAAATGGCAAGTTTTCTAATTGAGACTTAGAAAATACACCAGGCACTTTAGAATGGGAGAAACTGAGTAAACTATATACTGTTTTTAGCTTAGTAGATATTCAGAGAATGTTTTATAAATAATATATCTCAAATGTAAATAGCAACATAAAAAAAATAGATACTCCAAATGGTTGTCTTCACAGTGATATGTCTAAACTATAAATTCCATTAATTGTGTAATTGCTAAAAATATGTAAATATCAAATATATAGTTTACAATAAAAATATACACATTCCCAAACACTGGCCACTATGACTAATGGGGAGAAAAACATTTATTAAAATAGACATGCCATCCAATTATTTAACAATAGATTAAAAACAAAAATACTTGTTAACTCTCCCTTACATCATCCCAGTTCCTCAGTGGTCTACGCACCATCAAGGATAGTAAGAGGTTACAGACATAATAAAGACTTAAAAATAAGTTCTGGTTATTAAAGACTGCAGAGATGACATAAATATGATTCTCTCACTAGTGCTATCTGTTCCCACCTTTTCACTGTGTAGAGAAGATAACTTGCCACAACCACAGAGATCAACTGAGCAAATAAGAAAGTCAGAAGTTGAACCCACATCTCCTCATTCCCAGATTGGTATTCTTTACTGGGAACTAAAAGAGAAACACCTCTGGGAGTAGAAATTAAAATGTTATTCTCACTATTTTTATTTTCAACTGGACTCAGAATGTATGTTTGTGGAGCTACTATCCTAGGCAGGTTTCCTAAGACATGATACCAAGGCCCTATTAAACTTGTGAAGGCTGACAAGTAATCACACACAAAAAGAATTTACAAGGCACAGAAGCCTTTGATTTCTTCTTCCATTACTATACTTGACTCACCATTATTTTTGTAAGCACACAGTTATCATGAGAAGATTTATTAAACATAAGAGGCAGAAGACACCCCTGGGAATGGGCTTTACTATAGTTTTTATTCCTTACATACAAAAAGATTGATAGATATGAATAAATAAGATATGAATAAATAAGCTGCTGGCAAATACTTGCAGCATTAGCATTTTCAAAATAGGCAAAAAGTGGAAACAACTCAAATGTTCACAACTGAGAAATGGATAAATGAAATTTGGTATATCCATACACTGAATATGTATCACAATAAAAAGGAACAAAGTACTAATATATGCTGTAATATAATGAACTTCGGAAACTTATGCTAAGCCAGTCACAAAGATCACATATTATATTTGCATGAAATGGTAGAGGCACAGGTAAAACGAGAGATAGAAAAATTAGTGGTTGCCAGGGGCTGGAAGGAGTGGAAAATGGGTATGATATTTCTTGGGGGTGATGAAAATCTCTAAAGTCTAAATAATTGCTCAGCTCTGTAAATATACTAAGAAACATTGACTTGTACACTTTAAAAGGATGAATTTTATTTATTTATTCTAAAGATTTTCCTTATTCATTTGAGAGAGAGAGTGAGCAAGTGAGAGAGCACAAGCAGTAGAGGGAGAAGGAGAAGTAGGCTCCCGCTACGCAGAGAGCCTGATGTGGGGCTCAATCCCAGCGCAAAGAGCCTGATGTGGGGCTCAATCCCAGGACCTAAGTGGAAGGCAGCTGCTTAACTGACTGAGCCACCCAGGTGCCCCAAAAGGATGAATTTTATAAGTAGGGAAGAGGAGCAAAGGTAAGAAATCTCAGAAAATTAGCAGCCATATTTTTTAAGTTTCCCAAAACAACAGAAGAGGGATCTCTAGAGACCTAAAATTAGAAAATCTTAAATCAAGGTCCCTTTCTAAATGGTTAAAAAAACCAATTCCAAAGAAAAATGGGCAACAGAAAAGAACTGAGCCAAATCCCACATGAAGTTACTATTAAAAAAAGAAAGGAGAATAACATTTCTATTAATGGTACAACCTTGCCAGAAATTGTGTTCACCATGTACACACATGCAAAAGATGAAAGTTATAATCTAATATTTCAAATTCTAAAAGTATTTAAGAAAATGATAAAAGATATGAAAGAACATCATAAATCAGAATAGGAAACATTAAAAAATGAGGTGATGGAACACAGAAAAGAACCGGACATAAATCATCCTAAAATGAAGTCTAAGATAGAAAGAACACAAGAGTCTACACACATGACAGATAATGCTTTAAGAGAAATAGACAATGAAAAGAAACTTTCACAGAACAAGAAGAAATGAAGAGAGATGGAAAAGGATTCAAGAGAAGGCAACAGATAGAAAAGAAAGGCAAAGAACATCCAACATACGTACAACAGGAGTTCCTACAAAAAAAGAAAGCCAAAGCAAGAGAACAGAATACTAAAAACCATAATCTAAAAGAATTTGTCTGAAATTTTAAAGTATGTGAAATTCCATATTGAAAGAACACACGCCTATCTGGGGAAATCAATTCAAAATGACCAACATTAAGATATATTCTCATAAAGTACTGAACTTTAGGGGCGCCTGGGTGGCTCAGTTGGTTAAGTGGCCAACTCGTGATTTTAGCTCAGGCCATGATCTTGGGGTCCTGGGATTATGCCCTGCATCGGGCTCCAAACTTAGCAGAAGTCTGCCTCTCTCTCTCCCTTTGCCCTCCCTTCACTTGCTCATTCTCCCTCTAAAATAAATCAATAAATCTTTTAAAAAAATAAATGATTAAACTTTAAAGGAAAAGAAAACATCCATTGGACATCCAGATAAAATCCAAATGAATGTAAGAGAAATAACTTTTTAGTCCTGACAAAAATGGAGTAATATATTTAAGACACTCAAAGAAAGAAAATATGAGCCAAAGATTTCATATCTAGCTAATGAATTTCAAATATAAAAAGGGCAAACGGTCATCAACACACAAAAATGGAGGGAATGGATACTGCTCCTACAACTCCTTTTTTAAGGAATCTACTGGAGAATGAGCTTCAAACAAGAAAAATGGTTGGTGAGACAATAATGTACAGACTGACGGTAAGCATTAAATACATATTTAAATGTAGAACTAAGACTAAATGAAAGAGTACAAATAACTCTTTAAGCTGATAATGGATATGCAGTGTAACTGCTTAAAAAAAAGGAGTGAGCATATGCAAAAAGCTTTTTAAACAATTTTCAGTAGCCACATTGTATGGTATTATGCTAATGTTTTCTCCAGATTTTGTGTGTAATATGGGATAAAATAAAATGTTAAATGATATTTTAATTCTATCTGTTGGGGCGCCTGGGTGGCTCCGTCGTTAAGCGTCTGCCTTCCGCTCAGGTCATGGTCCCAGGGTCCTGGGATCGAGCCCCACATCAGGCTCCCTGCTCTGCAGGAAGCCTGCTTCTCCCTCTCCCACTCCCCCTGCTTGTGTTTCCTATCTCGCTGTCTGTCAAATAAATAAACAAAATATTAAAAAAAAAATTCTATCTGTTGGTGAGAGACAGAATTCTCAGAGCAAGATAAAGGAGATACTGGTTTAAGTTAAGAGATTACATAATTACCCTGAAGCCTTGAATGTGAATAGGAGGTATCAGCATGATCTCATTAAGGAATTCAATCTTAAAAAACACACATAAATCTACACATATATGTACTAACTCTAGTAACTAAAAAACCTAGAAACAATGGCCAATCCAATAGCAATTAATATAGCTAAAAACTCAGATTTGGGTTTTGAAATACCCTTTCCTATCAAAGGAAATCAGGACTTTTTGGAGAAATGACTAAATCCAGTTCTGTGGCAGGAAATGTACAAGATGTGCCTATCTTGTCATACCAGTTAGCAAGAATTTATCAGACTACTAGGCTTGTGTCAAAAAGTCTTGAGGGCCAACTTGAAGAAGCTTCCACCAAAGCTGGGAAAATATCCAGAATGAATCAAAATACATAAAAAATGTTTGAACCTGTAAGTTCATAATGATATATATATATTTAAGAAAAATAAGGATATAGGCATTAACCATCAATGACTGATAATATCAAGA